CAGGAGAATCAGAAAATATCTCATGATAAAAGCATTCACATCATGCAGCAATTTCCTATTAATGTAACAGGCATCGGACGAAACACAGTATACATTTAGAAGTCTAAATCCTGTTTCCAAAAGGGATCACTCCAGTATTTTTAGCCCCTAGATTTAAACTGCTAAAAGTCTACAATCAGTTATCTTGGGTAAACTTTACTAATAAAATGTGACCCCCAGGTCTGTCTTTCTATGTATTTCTTAGAAACATTAGGGTCATGCTTTGCTTTCAAGTATATCAAAGGTCTATTAAGACAAAATACAATTACAGTCAAGCATATTCATAAGCTGCCAAAATGAATGATTTCCAAAGCTATGCATCCAATAAGATTGACTATTACATCACGTATAGCTTGTTTCTTACTTCTACAAACTTAAATGAATTTTGATAAACACTTTCTTACCTCATCCATGATTTTAGCATTATTTAAAGCTAAGACCATGTTCATGGAATCCATAGGGACAGAATACTTCAACTTGTCCGGATGCTGGCGATACTTCTTTTCACTAACAATTTCCATTGCTTTTTTGTTCTTCTCAGCTTCCAGGGAGCCCAGTGGCATCCATCCAACACCCTTCATACTTTCATCATATTCTGCTCTGTATTGATTCTGGAAGCAGAAAGAAAAGAAAATAATCAGGTGCATGAAAAAGTCTGTAAATCATGACACTTCTTTCTGTGTTTAATGACTATTAGATTTTGAATGCACGTACTCTAAAAAGAGGCAAATAGTATCAAGATGCATTCAAGGTTTATTTAGAAACTCATTTGTTACAGTGGTGTCTATTGTATTACTCTGCCTTTTATACGGTGTTCAGATCCTCCTTATGATGTATATAGATTGCTTGCATGAGATTACAAGGGTCTTAACCCTTTTGAAGAAGAGGATTATCTTGAATCACTATACTGAGAGAAAAAAAGCCCCTCTTCTCTAGAGGTTAAACATCCCAGGAAATCTGAGAACATAGCTACTGAGCTGGTTTCCCCTTCTTCTGAAAAGATATCTTTATGGAAGTACAAGATAAAACTATTAATGAAAAGTGAAGCTTTTCCTGTCTTAGCCTGCACACAAGTATTGCTCCTGAAGAGCCTCATGGGATACGTAAACAGTAAATATCCATTTTGCTTTATACATAAAATTACTTATTTCTGAGCCCAAATTCTTTAGCAATAGGTACAATTTAATATCTCAGAGTCTTAGAAAAATACAACGGCTATCATTGCTGAAGGTCTCAATTCATATACTACATTTTAGTGTATAACTGAATTAATTTCACTAAGAAAATAGTACTATTTATCTTACGGTACGCTTTCATCACCTAAACATCATTGTATTCATAATACAAAGGTTGAAGAATCTCTCACTTACATCACTTTGTATCTGCATCATGTTTTTGGCTAATTCAAGGCTCATAGCATCAGGCAAAACATTGTAGGTATGGATCAAGTTTTTGTAGTTTGCATTTGTAGCCACTTCCTGCGCTTTCTTGGCTGCCACAACACTGACCATGTCAACTGGAGTATGGAAATTAGTCTTTGCCTTCTCATAGTCTTTTTTGTATTCCCGATCAGATTGCATCTTAGCCACCTGCATGAAGTGCACCAGCTTGGGGTCGTCTTCAAGGCTGCGGAACCCAATATGCTTTCCTTTCTCTTTTTCGTAGGCTAGTTTGTATTTATACTGACAGGAGGAAAGAGAAAGAACAGCAAAAACTTCAATAAAAAAATGTGCACGATTAAGCTCAATTTTATCTCTGACAACATAGAAAATATTTGCCCTTTTTCATCACAAGATCTCAGGTTTAGTCATTTAAACATAGTCTTACAAAATAGCCCATTGAACACAGGCACATGAAGCTCAGCAGCTTTCACTGGAGTGTGGAATTGCAGCAAGTACTGCAAAAGTTTATGCCATCAAGCATATAACTGAAACCTAGACAACTCAAGATGCTTGAAAAGACACATTTGCGCGTAACAGAGCACTTTGAAAATGTTCTGACTGTCTTTGTAGCTACTCTGAGTACTATCATGCAATCAAACTTACATCACTTGCAATGTCTCTGGAGGCTTTGGCTGCTTTTATTGGAATAGCATCTGGCTGCATGTCATAACCTTTCTTCTTCTCTTCCTCCCATCCAGCTTTGTAAAGTTTCTAATTTAAAATGTAAAAGAGAACAGGTACTCTATTATGAAGGCAGAACTACTGAAGTACCCTACATTTGAACTTAAATATTTTCAAAAAAGACATAAAAATCACACCAATTTTTGATCTATGCAACAGACGCTGAATGCGCACTGTGAGCACGGTAACTCACATTACTCATTGTGATCTGGTTCACTCTAGACTGCAGAATTTCTGGAGTATCTGGCATAACGTGAATGCTGGTCTTCTCTTTGTTCCATTTATCGGTGTAGAGCCTCTGCAATAACAAAGTAATATTTAGCATTGAAACGGCATTGCACTTATAAAATAAGAGCTTGCTTTTGTTTTGTTTATTTGCAAGAAATAGTATTTTACAGTATAGTACAGTTCCATAAGCACTACAAATAATCTTCCCGAATATAGCTGCCGAGTGGCAATATTATATTCCTCCTCTTTCTTTAGTACTTTACTTGAGACATTTGCAAAGTATGTTTTGATAACTCATAAATATTGAAACTGAAAATTTTCAGTCTGAATTCTTCCCTGCTTTAATGCAAAGCATAAATTGTTCTTTTATCACGCACCCTCTTTCCATGGCACACATGGAATAAGGATTAATGGTGTCCCAGATAACTAGGGACAAATTTAAAGAACTTGACTTTTTAAGGAAACTTGTACAAAACTGACGGAATTTCAGGGTTTTTTCAGCTCACTGATTATGAATGCTACTTCCTGCAGAAAAAGAGCAAAGGTTACCAAACCACTATAAATCTGGAGAAGACATCTTTAATCACATACACAAAAGAGAATTTTTTAATCTTTATAAACAGAAAATGAAACTCCCTCAATTACGAATACAGTCTGAGGCTTCCATCATCTCTTGCTGTTCAGCCTTAACCAAGCAAACCACTGTAGCCGTTTGAAATTCTAATGACTTCAGTGGGAATGCATCTGTCCCATAATTTTGCAAGAAAAAGACCCAATCCCTGGTTCAGTCGTGATCATCTGAACAAATTCTCACCTTATTCATGGTCTTGGCATTTTGCTTAGCTAGCACTTGTTCCATTGCATCCATTGTAATAGAATACTTCAGCTTGTCTGGGTGCTGGCGATACTTCTTTTCACTGAGAATCTCTGTAGCTTTTTTGGCCTTTTCTACATCCAGCGACTGAATTGGTATCCAGCCAACTCCTCTCAACCAGTTATTAAAGTCTGCTTTGTACACATTCTTTTAAAAAATAAACAAGGAAAACCACAGTGAGACAAGGAAAATTACAATGCCCATATACATAAAAACAGGTAAGGCCTTAAAACTTCTCCTGGTCATTCATTTTACCAGAAAATTTAGACAAGCCTATTATAACTGCTATTGTTTTCCAAATTCTTAGCGTAACTCTAACAAGTATTGTTGTGTTAGGGATAAAGAAATTCTTTTCACTAAACCAATGTGTAGAACTCGCACTGCAAACCAAATGCACAGACCTTAGAACAATTTTTGAGTGCTAAATATGAAAATCTGACAAAAATATAATTTTTTTTTAAATTACACTCTTGTTTGTTAGTAGGCTCAGTTCGTAGTAGAATTAATTCAGAGAAATTGTTTCAGCAACTTCTGCTTAATGGCCTGGTTCTGCACAATCTGGAATAGACACCATTCCTATTTAATCATACTTTATAACATGGCTTTCAGAACAGATAAAGGTACAAAAATGCTGTGAAAATAAACCTGTTCCTGAACTGCACTGTTAGAAGTAACAGGGAGACTATCAGAGTCTGAGAAAAAGACCACATACTGTCATAGCATGTGTACCCAGGGCAAAATTTGTCCTCAGGTACCACGCTTCTCTCCTGGCAAACATCCTGAGTTAGCCAGCCAAGCAAGCTCAGCCAACTCAACCAGGGTAGGTAAAAATACAATGGGGAAGCAAAAAACTTGAGCTGAAAAGTTCTGTATTTGGAAAGAACAATGTCTAAAGGTCAGATCCTCTATCTGTTGGCCAATGGGAACACGCATATTATCCTCTCCAAACAATGCTTAGAATCTGAAGAACACTTTCAATCAGCTTATTAACTTTTTTGGGAATTTCAAATTTGTCAGATAATTTGTCAGTAATGCAGATTAAACTAAATACTTTCTGGATAAACAAGCAGACCCTGAAGTTACACTAGTGAAAACAAAAAATGGAAACGAGTCACAAAACTTAATGGAAACTAGAAAGCTTTTTTATAAATCCTTATCATGCATGGCATATGCATCTGCTGGAGGAGAAAGGCAGGAAGGAAAAGTGAACAAAATAAATAAATCTCAAATCCCTAGGTATAATACAAACATACATAATGTATGTTTTCAGTAAACTTAAATAAAATATAGTCAGAATTTAGACTGCACATAACCTACGATCTCTGACAATACGAATAATAATCACAGTAATAACACATCGTAATTACAAATCCAGCTACAAAAATACACGAGTTAGAAAAACATGTTCATTTGCTGAGAATTAGCCAAATAGGTAGAGATACAAAGAAAGTTGTTACTTGCTAGGTAAGTTCCCTAGAACTTATCAGCTACACAAAATTCTGATAATCTTTGGAAAATACAGAGTTCCAGACGACGTTTACATGTCAATCTACTGTTAATTCAATATAGTTCATTTTTTACCCTTAAAAGGTTAATAGCGTAACACAGTCATACTGAGAAGAAAAAAAATGAGCTGATTAATCATTACATACATCACTCTGAAGCTGCATCACATTTCTTGATAGCTCCAGGTTCACAGAATCAGGCAAGAGTGTATAATTGTGAATTAGCTGTTTATAGCCAGCGTTTGTAACCGCTTCCTGGGCTTTCTTGGCAGCCGTCACGCTGAACATATCCAAAGGAGTATGATATTTGGTCTTGGTGACTTCGTAATCCTTCTTGTATTCACGATCTGATTGCATTTTGGCCACATTCATGTAATGAACAAGTTTAGGATCATCCTGCAGGCTTCGGTATCCAACCTGTTTGCCTTTACCTTTCTCATATGATTCTTTGTACTTGTACTAGAAACAAAGGAAAAGAAAGGCTTACCCACTTTGGAAAGAGAAAACATACTTTTGAAAATTTTAATACTTTGAAACTCAATATTTTAACAACTGCAGTTCATTCTATAAACTCATAAACTGTTTTTCAGATGGCACAGGATTATTTTGGTAAAAAAAAAGAAGAGGATCGCTGGATTTCTCAGCTTGCCTTGACCCCTGGCATAGATCTAAATCTAGATATGCAGTTACATGCCCTCCCTCACGATTGCCACTGCTTATTATATTTTACTGCCATAGACTTCTAACTCCCAGGTACATCCAGCTTTTAATTAAAAGACCAGCAAAATAATGTATTACTGAAAAGCCCAAGACTACCGAACAACTGGATATCCCAATACTCAGCTATTGGGTGGAGGCATGTTTAAGTGGGGAATGGAAGTCGTTTGCAGCCTTTTGCTAAAGTTAGTGAATTTATTTCTGTGTTCCAAATCTCCTTTCATAGCTTGTATCAGATGGCACACCAAGCTTTAAATTGACATAACTGCCTGAAAACAGCCACATTTCTGTACAGCTTGTGAATGCCAGACAAGTAGAAGTTCAGGTCACCAGCAATTAAGAATACAGCATCGGTAAATTATAAGAAAGGAACTTCCAAATAAACTGGTGAATACTTGAAGCATATACAGCTCACCAGCACTCACAGGCATTACGATGCATTTCCAAAGAAACAGTTTTTTTCAGAGGTTCATGTAAACATCTGAATTCACTTGTTACTTCATCGTATCATAAGAGTTTCAATTCTCAAAGCTATGTGTCTCTATACCATTATACACATATGGCATATGCCCTATAGCATAATATACTACAGAAAGCTGTAACACAGTAGGTGTATGTATTCCACTTCATGTAAATTATACTTACATCACTGGCAATATTTCGAGAAGCTTTAGCAGCAATAATAGGAATCGCATCTGGTTTCAGATCATATCCTTTGGCAATGGTTTTTTTCCAGTCTGCTTTGTAGTTAGCCTTACAGGGAAAAAAGGTATGAGTTCGCAACATTACAAGTAGCAATTTTAACGGAGTTGTTTAAGCCCGTATTTTTGTTATAGTTATAGGAGTCAAAATATTCAGTTTAGTCTGTGCAATTTCAGAGAAAAATGCTAGCCTGTACACAAACTACAGTTACATTGTGATAAATAAATCTACTATAAATATAGGAGAGTCCCTCAAAACAATCAGCTTAATTCATGTAGCTACATCATTAATTCCATAAGCATTTTTTGCAATTTTTATGTGGAACAACTCTATCAATCAGTGGCATTTTCGCCCTTGCTTAAGCAAACCCCTTTTTCTTTTTTTTTTTTTCATTGTTAGCAGTTAGCATCTGGACAGACTAATAGTATTTCCAGGCTTTCTACAAGATGGGATTAAGAGAGATGTCAGCTTTTACTAGTTCCTGGAGGCCTGATAATGCCACCAAAAAATTTAATATCATGAAGGCAATAAAAGTGATACTATCAGTGGAGATTTTATGGTGTTGGATGGATGGAAGAAGTGATGGAAAGCAGGCAAACCAGTAGCTGAATGGCAGAAAAAGGCCTTACTATCCTTCCACTGGATGAGTTAATTTCCTTTGAAAACCCAGCAGCAGGAAGCAACCTACAGAGAACTCGTACTGCTTGCTTATGCAGTGTGTTTTATATAAAAGTAGATCACATAAGTCTCCAAACCTATAGGAATTTGAATAAGTCATGCTGGTTTTTTCATTCAGTCAATCCAAGTAGTTTGGTAATAAAGCAGGGAAATGTGTTTATTTTCTGGAGTGCTCAGACAGTTTAAAAATTAGCTTAACAAGCACAAAACTCATTGACTTCTAGAAGTAAAAGTTTAGCTCAGTTCAGAGCTTGTGCATTTCTATATTCAATATCATAGCACGAATAAATAAAAGGGTTTTTTTCTATTAAGTAAATGAATATATTATTGAACAAACTATTGGTCATATGCTCACATCACTCAAATTGAAGGCGTTGACCCTGGCTTGAATAAACTGAGGAACATCAGGATCCAGGGTATATTTGTGTTTTACTTTTTCACCCTCTTGCTTATATGCTACCTGCAAGGAAAAATAAACAAATACTTGTTGACAAGTACAAGGTAGGTAATGGTGTTAACAAATAGAGACAGTGCAACAATGCTTAATTCTTACCAACAATTTGCAACCTTACTATTTTTACAGTTTTTAAGATTTAAAGGCTTTTTTAGGTGGAATGTCAGACAGTAACATATAAATTATAAATATGGTAAAAAAATAAAATCGCTATATTGCATTAATAATGAAAAATTTCTTACATCACTCAGTTGCTTGGTGTTGTGCTGAGCTAACACCATTGGTATGGAATCTGGTATACTTGTAAATTTGATGGTGTCTGGGTGCTGACGGTATTTCTTTTCATTTAATGCCTCTCCAGCCTTTTTAGCTTTTTCAACATCCAGAGAACCAAGAGGACTCCATCCAATACCCTTGAACCAGCTGTTATACTCTTGTTTGTATGCATTCTGAAGGAGAGAAAGCCAACATGAACCAAGATTTTCCCACAGAACTGTAATAATTCTGTTTAAAACAATAATCACATAGTCTAGCTAGCGTGTTATACATTAGCAGGAAATATTTATAAATTCTTGAAGGGAACAACAGATATTTTCTATGTTTCTCTGTGATTTCATAAGGAAGAAAATGAGCTATTGTACTTTTAATTCATGATTCATTTCTTATAAACTGTAACTTCCCTTCAATATTTACTAACTTTCCTTTTCTTTTACCCGTGTGAAAAATTTCACCAACCTTCAATTCTTAATAAATTCTAAACTACCATATGGTGACCGTTTAACATGGTTTAATTTGTTCCATGTTTCAGCAGACGCTATGAGACCTGAATTTACACAAAGGTCCACAGAGCAGAGGCTCAATTTTTGGTTTCTTTCCTATAGTTCCTCCTACAGTAAATTAAGCAGAATTCACAGACTGCAATAGAAAAATTTATCCCGGCTACAAAATATGCAGAAGGTTATCTCATATAAACGTTCAGATGCACAGTCTGAATGCAAGGATACTCTGGACACTCTTTTTTAAGACCGTTCCATGTTCTAACTCTAAAATGAGTGGTCCTCCATAGGGATGCATACAGAGTCAAATTCTACAGTATACAAAGAGGTGCAGAGTGCAACCATGCACACCCAGACAACCATTTAAAACTCTCTATCTGCAAGAAGGAACGAGAAGGTCCTAGGAGAGACGTCCTATGCCAGAGATCTCCAGAATGTATTTCTAATTATATCGATAGTTACATTTTGTCCGCTCTTTCATCCTAAATAGTTAATAATAGTCCAACTACACTATCATATCTATCTTATGTGAAGACAAAGCAAGACAACTTAAAAGAAGTCTTAAAGAATGAAATCATGCTAGTTGCAAAATAAAATCTTCTGAGAAAATGTGAAAAACAAGTTCATTTCAATTCAATATTCCAGAAATCTGCTCTCCATTGATATGCCAACATCAAAATCCTGTTGAGTAGAACTCCCCTGGAATCTGGTATTTCTAAATGCCACCATCAGCTGATAAAATTTCTAACAATTTCCCCCAAGACATAAGAAAAACAGACCATTCCCATACAGTAATGGCAATTTTCATTAAATATAAACTCGTGTTTTATTTTTCACAGTGTGCAGGAAAATATCCATGAAATTGCAATCACTGAAATACTTACATCACTCTGAATTTGCATCATGTTCTTTGCCAGCTCAACATCCATGGCATCCGGCAGGTAAGTGTAGTGATGGATCAGGTTTTTGTAGTGGGCATTAGAAGCTACATCCTGAGACTGTTTAGCAGCCTGGATACTGTACATGTCAGGAGGTGTATGATAGTTAGTCTTGGTCTTCTCGTAGTCTTTCTTGTACTCACGCTCAGACTGAATCTTTGCTACATTCATGTAGTGGACAAGCTTAGGGTCATCTTGCAGGCTTCTGAAACCAACCTGTTTTCCTTTAGCCTTTTCATATGCTTCTTTATATTTATACTAGAAACAGAGGAAAGAGACCAAATGTACAGTGGCATGGCTATTGATGTCCACACTAATGCAAAGGAAAAGAAAAGCTCTCACGTCTTTCATTGGAAAAAGCAGCTGCAAGCAGTTCAGAAGGATAAGCTCTCCTAAATGGCACACCCGGCCACTGTACCTACATTAGCTTTTCTTGCTCCACCTGTACACAACGGGTTACACACACCACAATAAGATTTATCAACATTAGCTTTTTGTGTAAGGAAGGGAAAACGTTTCTTAAGTATTCCTGTGTTGAAAGGTGTATGAAAAATATCAGAATAATTGAGACAATCCTTCTCAGTCATTTGAAAGCAATAGCAAACAAATGGAATATGACTGGACAGCTTCCTCTAGTTACAGGAAACCACTGAAACATATCCCACTTTATACCATTTGCACTATAAAGCCTTCTGATTCACGTATAAGCCAGACTCCACTGTATAACCAAAAGCACCCTTTGCACACATTGTTTCATGGTCTGTAAATAAGCGATAACATAGTGTATTTTCTGGAAATTTGTCACAGAATGATTGCAAGAACTACTGATTTCATTTCTCCTGTGAAAAGTGGGTTAAGAAACACAGTGCAGTAGCATTTGCCTATTTAAAGCAAACAAGATGAGCATAAAATAAGTTCTACACAAACTAAGCCTTTGGGAAAGACCAAGAACGTCTTTCTCGTAATACTGACTCTAGTGAGACTTGTGCAACATATGAGGCCTACCACATGGCCTGTAACGGATAACTTTTTTACTAAATGCCTAAGAAAAGTATACCTGGAATATATACTTACATCACTAGCAATGTTTCTTGAAGCCTTGGCTAGAGTAATTGGAATAGCATCAAGTGACACGTTGTTCCCTTTAGCTATTAGATCATGGTAGCCTTGTTTATAATATGCCTAAAAAAGAATATCCGTATTATTCTAGAGAACCTAGCAATCACATGAACAATGTGCAAGTCAAAGCTACTTCTAAGCTACTCCAGGCAATTCTTCAGAAGCAGATGCAGTGGGGATCATATACAACTATCAGTCTTCATTTATGAGAACAGAGTTATCAATTAATTAAATTAATTGAATGATTACATGACTAAATGGTATCTGGCTGGAAATTCAAATGACACCAGGAATGAAAAATTACAGTGATAAAAGGTGATTATAGAGAACTGCATATCAGCGAAAGGAATCTGCAATATGAGTGTGTCTGTAACATATTACTCAAAAGTTCATTAACAATGTGTAAAACATGTTGCAAAGAAGTCACTTACATCACTGATGTTAGCTGCATTGTATCTAGCTTGGATAAACTGTGGGACATCGGGGGTAAGAGTATATTTATGTTTAACTTCTTCTCCAGAAGATCTGTATAGTTTCTGTAAAATACATGATACAGAAATAAATCCTTTTTCACTTGTATAGCTAGCTCCAGCTCACTGTAAATTAACTGAGGGTTTATGTTTGATTTTGCAGATAAATGTACATTGGCACCTATGTCATAAAGACTGAGGCTGTACTTTTCATTCAGGATTGTTGATCTTATTGATAGAAGGAACGCACCCTAAAAGCTCTATGCAGTCTTTACGCAGTAAAATTAAGCCCTTTAATGGACGTAAAAACCCATTTCTGAAACAGCGGGATAACAAGAGGTGGTAGAAGAGTGTAACATAAAACAAAGCTTGCTGGTTTATAATGATGGATATATTGTGATTCACCAAGCGTTCTGTAATTCATTCATTATTGTAGGTGGCAAAACATCAATAAACAACTTGAAAATTTCACATTTCTTAAATCAAATGTATTTCAAATGCACTTAAAATATAAACGGACAGAATCAGCTGATGTGAACTGAAAGAGCCACATGATTTCCGTACAGCTTTGCAGACTTATACCAGGAAATTACTCAGGCAAAATCAGAGCACAAAACAATGACAACATGGAGAAACACTTTCAGGCTAATAGTGTTTTAAAAAATTTTAAAGACAACGCTCAGCTCTTCAGTAGATACATCACTACTTTACTCTAACACCCATTTCTTTCTCTACTTACATCATTGAGTTGAACTGAATTCTGTTTGGCTTGGACCATTACCGGAGAGTCCACCACACTTGTAAATTTAATGGTGTCCGGATGCTGACGATATTTCTTTTCATTCAAGGCTTCTCCAGCTTTTTTAGCTTTTTCTACTTCTACGGAGCCAATGGGGATCCAACCAATGCCTTTCATCCAGTTATTATAATCTGCTTTGTATGCATTCTAATAAAGGAGTGAAAACAGCATTTTAAAAGTTAGGAATCAGAAAAAACAATTCAGGGACCTCTCCTGAGTCTTCACAGTTTTTGCTTGAGGCACCTCAAAAAAATTCTGTTCACATGAGGTTTTACTTACATCACTCTGAATCTCCATCATATTTTTGGTCAGCTCCACATTCATTGCATCTGGTAAATAAGTATAGTGGTGTAGGAGGTTCTTGTAATTAGCATTGCTGGCAATCTCTTGAGCCTTCTTGGCACCGACAACATTGACCATATCCAGTGGAATGTTGTACTTAGTTTTTGTTTTCTCGTAATCTTTCTTGTACTCTCGCTCAGACTGCATCTTGGCTACCTTCATATAATGAACGAGTTTGGGATCATCCTGGAGGCTCTTGAAGCCAACGAGTTTACCCTTGGCAAGTTCATAGGCTTTTTTATAGTTAACCTGTTAGAATATAATAGAACACGGAGAATATCATCTTAAGTAAGTGCAGTAACTTAGCAATAAGTAACTTAAAAGCAAAGGCTACCCTTTGTTTTCTACAAAGAGTATCCCTCACATTTAAGTCAGTGACCATACACCTTAATAAAACCAGACACATATCTCTCTACAATTCACTGCTGCACAAATCAGTTAGCTTTCAAAATAGTAGTATCTATCTCACTTGTACTGATCATAAGAGGGAGAGGAGTCTTAAAATACTAAGGGACTTCCACGAGGTCATCCCCAGGAATCTACCCAAAACCCAGTGATGTCCTGGAGTCTTTCATCTCATTTATGATCAGACCTATAATTAAGGACAGAGAGAATTCAGGGGCCATTGCTCATGCAGCTGTCACTACTGACCTACTCCTCATGATTTTCCTTAACCACTACTGACCTACTCCTCATGATTTTCCTTAGTCTTTCCTTAACCTTTCCTTAACCTTACTGGAGTGCAAGATAGCCTGTTTATTCACAAAGAATTACATAATGAAACAGCCCTTTCTAAATGCAATTATACAAATACGTTAGTGAAGCAATGAAACACCAAGAAAAATACAACTGTTAATATGTCCAATAACATGCTTAAAAAAAGGCAATAAAGAAGTTACCCTTCAGATATCCTTAATACACATAATTGCAAACATTGCTTAAGTAACCTCCTTCGAATTAAACTGTTCCTTTAGGAAGGATGTACTCACATCACTGGCAGCCTGCCTAGCAGCCTTGGCAGCTTGGATAGGAATAGCATCACTTTTTAGATCATATCCCCTTGATTTTAATTCTTCCAATCCCGTTTTGTAATAGTTCTAGAAGAAAAGGTGAATTTTGAATTTGTTTTTATCCAACAGAAACTTCATATTGTAAGTTGAATCCAGAGCTCTGGATTCAAAATATACTTACATCACTAATATTGTAGGCATTAACTTTAGCCTGTATAAACTGGGGCACATCTGGAGGGAGGTGGTACTTGTGAATAATTTCTTCACCTTTGGATTTATAAATTATCTGCAAAGAAAAATAAAGAAATAAATTTAGCAGCTGAATGACTATAGATTATAAATGCTTAATAATGCTGTGGCACAACTTAAAGATCTCATGTTACCTCACTCACAAAGAAAGGCAGAGATGAAATCCTAGTCCTTGCCAAGTGAATGGTATAAACCCCATTGACTTAACTGGTGCAAAGAATACATTAAGAACGATGGACGTAAACAAAATTACAAACATACACACTAAAGCTTGACATTAACAGCCACTTGAAGAATTAAAAACAATCTGATCTCCAGGCGATCTTCCACTGGAACAGAACTGTGAATACACACAAATGTTTTTGTGCTTGTGTGCATGTATATGCACACACATTCACTTCCACATTCATTTCAGGAGTTCTCTTAAAACCAGATGATAAAGTGAAGGTGGCCACAGTGCAGAAATTGATAACTTCAAAGGGTAGCAACGTGTTTTCTAAGCTTACTTACATCACTCAGTTGTTTGCTATTGATCTCTGCTTGCTTCTGTACTGGAGAGTCAGTCACTTGAGTAAATTTGGTTTGATCAGGATGCTTTTTGTAAGTGTGCTGAAGGAAAAGAATAAATATATTTGCAGAAAATCTACATAAGCAAAACTATTTTATAAGACATAGCAATGTAGCATTACTTGGGATAGTTAGCAGTTACGGCATGTGTGCAGAGAAGCACTGCCATGCACAATGGTTCTCATCTTACTTTTTAATATTATCAGAGAGCAAATAAATTTGTAAAAGTATTTTTAAAGTATTAATGTAAAATATTTTGAGTAGGTATATAAATATAATGTATCATATAGTATACAGTATATTGTATATTATATACAAATATCTATTTAAAGTATTTTCCAAGTATTGATAAAGTAAATAAAATTAGTTTTAATAAAGTAACTAAAGTACTTTTAACGTATTAATGTAAACATATGTTGACTTAAGCAGAGAAATGCTTGAGGTTCATTCTTCATGTTGGTACTATTCATTTAATTTTATGTTTTAACTTCTTAAAAAAAGATTGTGCTATATCTGTCTTGATCACTAGATGTCACAAAAGGCTGTAAAATACAGATGAATATGGTTTTTAAAAGTCACATATGCTAATAACACCAAATTCAACATCATCGAAGCTAAGAGGAATCACTGTGAATTTCTACATGCCTCAGCAGCAGGTACTCTGCATGTAATTGCTTGAGAACCACCACTGTCCTGTACTTACATCTTTACACTGATCTAACTTCTTAATAGCTTCGTACTCTTGCGTTATGGTCTGAGGGAAGTAGCACTTTGTCTTTTCCTCCTCATAATCTGCTTTGTAATTTTTCTAGGAATAAAATCAACATTCAGTAAGAAACCATCATTGAGCTCTCTCCGAAATGAAAGTATGATGGTGAAAACAGAACGATTGCCACACTTACATCACTCTTCATAGCTTCAACTTTCATGCAGTGTGTATGATGTGGGTCCTCAAAGCTGCCCAAATAGTGTCCTAAAATATTCTTTTGATACGCATCTTTATATTTTACCTGGAAAAATAATCACAAGTTGATAAACAAAAGTAATCAAGAGTGTCAGTACTGAACGACGTAACATAAATCAAATACATACATCACTAAAATTCTTCAGAACAGTATCAGTCTGGAACTTCGGTGTGTCACAGTAATTCATGCTGGTTGCTTTTGATTGTTCATAGGCTTCTTTGTATAATTTCTGCAAAAGAAAATAATGTCAGACAATGCAGCAGATTTCACTCAACTCACTCGCAACACATTCAAAATGATAAGACTAAAACTGAAATGGTTGCAAAGAAAAGCTTTCCCAGAAGACAGAAAAACAGATGGCACTTTTTTTCCAATGATTGTTTTGAAAAAATTTTTAGTGACTCTTAGGTTCGTAAGGGAAGACAGAAGGGTCTGACTAATGGTTTTTGAACTTCTGGCACTGAGAAATATGCAATCCCTTTCCATACAGATGAAAAGAGCAAGAAGAGAGAAATTGAGAAAGCCATTACAGTGAGTAACCAGAATACAATATATATGAATACATATATATTTATGAAAAGTACCATATATTTTATTATTACTGGCATCAGTTGAAGTTCCTTAAAACAGTAAGGGAAGAACTGTTATCTTGTGATCCATTTTCCACAGGGATCTAAATGAACTATACAATAATTAGCTATCCCCATAACATGCTACACTCTGCTGTGCAGAAATGAGTCTTTATCTATGCTGTTCTGGTTGGTGGTATCTCATGACAAATACCGGTCTATAAAACTAAAAATACTATGAGATCCAAAGGAGAAGCCTTGTGAAGAAATGATGAGTTTGGTTTATTGTACGTGACCGAAAATCATCCAGCTGTACTTTGATAATACTTACATCACTCAGCACATCTCCTGCAGCTTTTAATTGCCTCAGCAATGGGTTCTCTGTAGCAGGAAGCACATTATAATCTGCAATAGCTTTGTTCTTTTCATAGTCTGCTCTGTATTTTACCTTTAAAAAAATAAAAATAAAAAGAATGGGGTTTTAAAAATCAGTATTAAAAGCCAAACACTCACTAACCTATATCATCGTGAAGTTTTCAGGAAAATTTCCCTGTTTTTTAACTTATGATTCATGATGGCAAAGGACCATGAAAGGCACTCAGATCACAGGAGTGCATGGGTGACAAGATGGGAGGCAGGGCTGGAAGACAAGTGAGAGCTATTCAGTAGATGTCCCCACCTTTAAGCCCCTCTCCAAACATTGTAATTTTTCAAATATCCGTTGACATCTCAGAATAGTCACATTCTTACAATCAATGGCATAAGATTGTCTTTGCTGACGCATATACTATTGCAGAAAATGCAGAAGTCAAACAAAATCTGTGTTTTGAACACAAGATGGGCCAGCACAACATCACTGAGATACACTGAGCAAGGATGAATAAATATGAAAATACTGAGCCAAACTGAACTAGCTTAAGTCGGCCTTGGTTAACAGTATGGAGTTGTTCCAATTAAAAATCAGGCACATAACATAATCAGAACAAACAATGAAGCCAATTCTACGTCACTGAAAGAAAATTCTACTTCATAGGCACTGTTGTGGAAGATCATAAGCATGGCTAAGAGTTGTTATAAGCTTCCTAGTGGACAGTACACAAGAATACATCTTTTGCATATAAGAAAATATTTTTGACACTTGACAAAACAGTTTCAGCACAAACTGGCCTGACTTCAGAACTACACTCAAGCTAAACGAATGGGAGCACACATAACATACCTTACTGACGTTATTTGAAACTCGTTTATTAGCTTCATATTCTGGAGTTTCAGTCTGCATAAAGTAGATTTGGTCTTTCATGTTTTCAAAGTCTTCCTGGTATTTTCTCTGTTAGGAACAGAGACAAAGAGATAACAAATGCACTTACATTATAAATCACACATCCACAAAGTAGTTTATTTAGGAAAAGTGAACTACCACAAATGCAGCAGGCAAAATTAATCAGCGTTTTCCATGTTAACATAAACAGAGAATAAAGCTGCTCATGTCAAGGTTTTCTGAAGAATTCACTTACCATACTTATATTTTCTGCATTCATTTTCGCAATTGCAACATCATAGCATGGAGTTTGACTCCACTTGCCTTTGATCTTGTTTTTATAGTCCTCATGGTAAATAATCTACAATGAAATCAAAAAAATAAAATTTAATCTCCAAGATACAGCTCAATTTTCACTTGACAGATTTGTTTTTAAAAGTCATCTTCTTAAAGTTGCTTCACATTTTACATCTGCCTTCTAACCATTTTATCAGTTATTGTCAAAAATACCTTAAATATGATTTGGCCTAACCACTTCAGTATTCATTTATTTCTCTTAGTACCTTCCCTGACCAAAAAAAAGGATAAATAGGTGAAATAAGTAAACTCTTCTAGAAGATGGTTATTAATGAGAAAATCTCTCTGTGAGACATCACTAACATATTCCTTTAGTTCTGTTTTCTCACTGGTCACATACTATTGGGACATAGTATTGCCCATTGGTTAAGCAGGAACTTATTGCTGCTGAAACATGGTATAAGAAAACCCTTTTAATATATGGGTTGCTCGGTATACGTGATTTCTATTAGACTACAGTCAAGCACAGGGAAGTCAAGTATCAACTGTTTTAACAGACAGTTCCTGTCTGTCTAATAACAAAACATCTTTCCAAGTTTTGACTCAGTGTTCCAAATGCATTTTCAGCCACAGTTGCGTTGCTTGTCACAAAAAATACAACTTCTCCAATGCCTTTTTAATTGTTACCACATTGATATAGAACATACATGCCAAAAACAACCTTTAAAAGTTCTACATTTTATTGTTCTGGAGATGCACATATAGCTTAGTATTTTATTCATTTCAAAGAATTATGATACTGATCTTGCTTTTTTACATGTCTAAAAATTTTCTTGATGACAATTTAGCTTTTAAGCTATGGAAGAATAAGATTCAAGACATTTTCTCTAAATTAAATACTACCTTCTTTCACCTTCCAAATGGGTTCACTGCAATATTTTTAGTGGCTTTGCAATTGTAAGTGAATACTGTAACTCCCTAATTTTAAACAGCAGATAATTTTCAATTAGAGGGAGAATAGGAAGTAATGTGTGTAGCTAGAAGCAGAAATGTTTTGTGAAAACTAAACTCACCAACAAGGATAAAGTTTAGCCTTTCACCTGAGACTGGGCAGGATTTTCTCTGAGACATCTGAGGAAGAAAGGAACTGGCTTTCGCCACTGAAAATCAAAGAGGTCTTCATATGAGCTCTGATCTTTTCTTTTGCTTTCCCTTTCTTTAGCTACGTTTTTGCCTCTGTAACTCCAAAAGCGAGGTTTCTACAGAAAGAAGAGCGCTGCATTCTACTCACGTCACTCAGCTGCCTTGTCACTTTCTTGGCTTGTTCCACGTCAGGTGGATCTGGCAGAGGAGTATATTTAGATTTTCGTTCATCATGCCCTTTTTTGTAGACAATCTGAAAATATGAAAGAAGTAGACATTTACAGTAACTACCAACTTAAGTATCAGAATGTTTACTCTTAACTCTGCTAACGCCACCATTAACAAAAGTAGCTCTGTCCACAGCTACCGCAGCATAAACTCTTTCGATCAATGTATTCTGGAGGACTACTGAGAAGACTCTTGATAAGAGACAGCGAAAAAGAATCAGTTCCCTGGGAAAGTTCTCAAGTATATTACACTGTTGCTCCTGGTAAACATGGAGTAGTGAACTTCTGGACATCTGCGAAATTCAGTGAAATCTTTAAGTGAGACCTGAAATCCTCGGTTGAAGAGTTCTATGTACCTGAGTATCAGCAAATCACACAGCCTCACGAATGTCTGACTTTTCCTATCACTGTTTTAGAGAGACAGACTTGTAGACCCACAACAGTGAACTGGGCTTACAGCCAACCCTGAGAGTTTCTTCACACATTTTGAGAGATACTCGAGGTCTTCTTACTGATTACCTCAGAAGATCTTTAACAAATTAATCATTTCATTCATTCGTAATCCGGCATCAAATTGCCAACACTTATACCCTAATATAGAGTACATACTCTCCTATGGAAATAGCACTACTATCAGAGCTATCAGTGCACACCCCCGCATTTTTATTTTCTGTTCCATTATGAAGTTTTTCTATCTAGTCCAAGTCCACCACAAAGACTACCAAGTTACACTATAACAGTGACCCAACTGCCAATCAGGCTGTGATACTTACATCACTCAGAGTCTTTTGAGCCTGTGCCACCCTTCTGAGCTCTGGACTGTCATTGTATGGATAGAATAGTGTTTTGTCTCCTTCCCAGTCTTCGGTATAGAGTTTCTTAAAAACAGAAAAATGACAGAATACTCATTATGAATTAACCTCTGATTTGGAATGCTTCTTGCACTTCAGCTGCCTAGACCTGTGATTTTTTTTTTCTTACCTTACTGAACATTGCTGTGTTTTTTATTGCATTCACAAGCTCTGGAGCATCAGGGGGAAGCAGGTACTTGTCCTTGTTCTCCTCCCAGTTCTGTTTATATAACACCTGGAAAGAAAGATCAGCACCTTGGTTACTCTACTATTAGAAAAATATTTACATTTGTGAGTAAACTACCTCCTCTAAAGATGTTTCCAAAGTGAAAGTCTCAAACCAATAACACTTGAAGACATCAACTGGAAACATTTAAGATTATATTTATACTTGCCTTATCAACTTCTCTGCTATCTCTCCCTGTGCTTCTAAACTGTTTGATAAACATCGCTGTAGTGGCCCGAGCTCAAAACTTTATTCGTATCAATAACCTCGTGACCCACTAATGTTCACAACCCTTCCCGAAAGTCGGAACTCGCTCACCTTGCTCACTTGCTGTGACACCTTCTTTGCATGTTCTATATCCTTGGCCTTTTCATCAACGTGGCAAATAGTTCTAGCAACTTCACCAGCCATGCGGTATTTAACCTACATCAATGCGCAACAAAAAACATTTATTCTTACACCAAAAACTGACAGGTTTTTTTTAAAGCAGAATATTGACATTTTTATACTTAATACTGTAAACACCCAAAATCTGAATTCAATAAAGCATTTAGGACTAGTTGTTCCTTAGAAATGAAGCCTATGGAAACAAACGGATTTTGTGAATTAATTGAGAAAGAAATGCAGCTTTGAGACAGTTTCAAGAGCTGTGAATCCAAGTTAGAGGTAATGCCCGTCTGTAATCACAGAGTTCTTTCTAAGAGTACTTCCACCCTGTATAATGAGATAGAGAGATCTCCATGCTATGCAGTATATCTCAATTTCACAATCCATTACCATGTAAACGCTAGCTGTAGTGCCAAAGGCAATATAGCCACATTACCATGGCAAACCAGCAGCTTGGGCACAAAAATCATCCTAATGTGGTTATACCACTCCCAGCTGGACAGCAGGCTCAGTCAGCATTAGCGCACGGATTGCTGCATCACATTCCTCAATGTATCCTAAGTCAGGAGTGGAGTGGAATTTAATGCACACTCTTCTCCTGATCACCAGTTAGATTAGGCGACTACTCTCTCAGCTTTAGGGGTTCCCATTCCTAGGGACGCAACTCTCCCTATTTACTGCATGAAGAATTAAGAAGCCTTTCCAGGTGGGTTTCAGTTTCCCAGCCTGTGAGGTGTATTGTTGAAAGGCAGACTAGCTTAAAAGAAAGAGGGAAGGATGAGCTAGCTTCCAGAGCTAGGGGCACTGCATTAGTGGGGCAATTGTACTTTGCCTAGCTTTCAAAGGCAGATCACTAAAGAGTGGGATTCACACAGAGGGGACAACAGATCTTGGAAAACCCCATAGCAAATGACAAGATGTACAGAAGTTCATTTTGCAACACGTGGAGAATCTAAGCGTCATTTTTCCAGTATCTCTTTAGGAAACTGACTTTCAGTTGCTTTATGAAAACAAAAATATTTAAACACATTTTAAAAACAAAATTCTAGGGTTATTTACCCAGTGCACAACTTAACCTCAACAAAAATTCATCAGGCACATCATTCATGATGACTGCAGGACATAGTGTGTGGAATCTTCAAATTCAGCGATATGGGCATCGCCATCATCTCCCGTGCCTGTAACTTCTGATCAGAAATCTTCAAACCTCTTTAGGCACAATGAAACAGAACTATTATTCAGCTAAAAAGGAGCCATCACATCTCTCTTCCTGAAAGGCCTAAATTCCAGCCTACATCACAGAACTCAAATTGTCACGTACTCCATATTCCTCACTCTTGTAATCTGATAAAGTTTCTGCTAAACATTCAGATTGCCTTATCACAATACCATCAAAAAATCATCACTTCTTATCTAACATTCAAAATTGTGACTCAGTTTGCTTCTTTACCACCCAGTAAATATTTTTTCTTATGACAATTGATACCTGCCTCACTGAGCTGGTCTTGCACTTTCTTGATTCTCCGAATTTCTGGGGTATCAATTGTGGAAGCATATGGCTTTCCTTTTTCTTTTCTATATTTTTCTTTGTACTTGTTCTGAAAGAAAATAATGACAAATATAATTAAGACATATCCTAAAGCTCTGGCAGAAATACGTGTAGCAATTACTGATTTATTTATCTGGTTAGTATAGGAATTTGGGGCAGATTATTGAATAATACAAACTGGCATTACTCAATTACATTTGCAGAGTTATGCTTATTTTAACCAACTGATTTTTTTCCATCTGACACAACAGAAAAAATCCATTTCTACCTTTAGCCTGGTTTAGATCACCTCTAATTGATTATATTCTCCTTAGGAGCTTGATATTGATAAATTTACAGTTATTTGTGTCAGTGACTAAAGATAAGGAAAATATGCAGGTGAGTGTAGCAGTCCTAGACCTATGATCTCACATAACGCTTAAACAGGGAATGCTGGTAGGTAATATAGATTAAAATTTAGGAAAAGGGATCTGATACCATCTGCATCTGTGCAGAGCAGTTTTCCACTTTTCACAACATTGTACAGTATTGGTCTACTGGACTTCAATAACCTGTACCAGGACTTTAGGTTGGTGCTTGTTCCTATATATTGTGCACAAGGATTTTTCTTGGATACAGAGAGAGAGATAGAGAAATATACTATTATAAAAAATACGGAAGTTTGCTATTCAATAGATATTAGTCTCTGTTCTCTTCCTTCACTCAGATATCCAAGTCAGATAGTGCAGGAGTCCTATTAACTGACATCTCTGACAACTTTCAGCCATCTGCCTCAAGCCACTTTTTGTGCCTAATGATTACCTAATGCACTTAGGCAGGGCAAGAGATGGGCTAATTCAAAGAAGCACGTAACACTAATTAATACGCATCATGAAATGAAGTGCGGGTGACAAAATAGTAGCGTGAAGGTTTGCAGTAATACCCATTAAATATTTTTAAAGTTCGTGTTCCTCAAGAAATAAAAGACATGGGACAGTTTACCTCACTGAATAGGTCCTTCATTTTGTTACTGTGTTGCAGATAAGGTGTCAAAAACTTAGATGTGTCCACTTTTGTCCGTATTATCTTCTTTCTGACTGGAGGTGCTGCATCCTCAACAGCAGGTTTTTCATGCTCAATGGTATAAGTGGTAGTTTTAGGACCTGTGAAGTCTGTGCTAACAGTCTCAGTGACCTCAGTGATCACCTGGGAATAAAGAAAAAAACAATTATTTGCTTTATAACTATAAAACATCATTTTACAATAAGCATTTTTCACCTCCCCTATCTAGTAAAAGGGTGCTCAGTTCTTATCCAGGAACCACATGCAAGACAGTGACACTTTTCCTACTGGGATTACCCAGTATGCCTACCAGACATCACCCAAACTAAAAATAACCCACAAGGCATTAACTGACTGGCCGATTTCTGTATTAAACTCATGTAACTGTTCTCCAGAGGAGCTGCAAGAGTGGGGCTCCTGTTGCCTCTGTTCTATGTGCCTAACTTCCACTGGCATCGGGGGGTTCTCAGGTGGGACCACCAGCAACTAAAACGAAAGTGTAGAAATGTTCTCAGTGCTGAAGTTGTGTTGAAGACACACGTGGCACAGCCAGGGCTCCAAACCATGTCACTGAAAGCTGTGAAAGCAGGTCAAAGGTGCATACAGTCGCTCAAAAAGATTATCTTCTTCTTGCAAAGAGAAAGGAATGGACACAGCAGACAGACAAGAGCAAGTCTCTGGGATCTTGTACTGAGTACACGATGCACCAGCTGACTGAACAAACACCTAGAATCCACCTTTTCTACTAAACTACATTTTCTCATAGCCAGATCACAATCATGGCAGAGACATAGCTGAGATACTTACAGAATCAATTGATCAAGCATCCATTGGAAATAAGCCCTTAATTAATTTAAATGGTTTATGTATTTGCATATCAACATATTTATGCTGTAAGCAATAATTTTAATACTAAGATTCTAATTAAAAGTATTCAAAAATAATTATTACAACTTAAAAATGTGCTCCAAAATCACCTGAATAAGTGTCAAGTTTTATTTCACATCAGCTAGCTTTAAAAAAAGGCACTGTTAAAAGGGAATGCATGCAGCTCAGATTTCTGATAGCTATTTGCATTAGTATGAGACAGACCAGAAAATGCACCGAGCATTAAACATTAAATTGAGAAGTATACAAAACTTAAATTACAACAGGTTTGTTTACTATGTGAACATTAATTGCATTTCACTAATGCTGTCCCAAGACGGTATTAGTTACTTCAACACCGCCACAAGTTTCTCTCTTACAACTCTTTTCAAATACACAAGCGTTCATCTAAGTTTTGGCACGGAAAGTATTACCTGCTGTTAGCTTTATAACAAAACAGTGAAGCTGTGTGCTTTTATAAAAAGTTGTAATATATTTCTAAAACTTGGAGAGGCTTGATTCTGAAAATACAGCATTTTGTGCAAAAAAATGCTTTTATTTTTATATGATAACTCATAGGATCACATGACGCTAATGCACATGTAATTCTTCATTCCACAATATTGTTCTCAAAAACTGATGCAAACAAGACACAGAAATAATCAGTCATGCTATTGCTCTCTTCAAATGCAGTCTGGCTGCAGATTTTAGAACACCTGATGAATGCAGTAGATGAATTAATCTTAAAAATAAGAAGATGGCAGTCTTCCTTCAAAAGTGTAGTCCTAGATTTCCTGCTCAAACAGTATTAATCAAATCGGGGTTTATTATATTAAAAATACAGGAAGTCTTGGGGAACAGATGCTTTGTTTGGAAGGCAACACACTCACAAAATGAAACATCAACCTTTTGTTTCTGCCTAAGCCTATGCCATGAAGAATATTTCATGGTAACACAACAGAGAGTTGCGTTATATCTATATTATAAGTAGAATTTCAAATTATGGTAATAACTCCTTGGTGACTCAAATATTTGTTACCAGTGACATGAAAAAAAAAAATCTGCAAACCACCACTTTTCAGTGAAATTACACAAGGTGAAGGGAACAGAACTGACACATGCAAACTGGTTTCAGGCAGAATCTTTTTATATTTCTCCTCATAACGAGGTTAAGTATAATGTGTGTATGTGCCTGTTCATACGTACATATCTAGTCACACTCACATCTTCTGTTCATCTTTAACAGTAATGATTGGATTTTGTCAATACGTCAATAAGTTACCCAAGTAATCTTCCTGCCTGGGTTTCTTGTTATTAACGTAACCTGTTGCTTCGTTTTGTCAGCTCCTGTGCAAACAGCTGCTGGGCAGGAGCAAATGGAAGACTGTCAGCAAGACACAGGGCAGGACAGAAACGAGCACAGTCTTTTCCTGATGGACACGTCCACAATTCCTTCTCATGGAAATCAAAGAGGGGCAGATAGGATACCCAGAACAAGCTAGAAGTCCTCTAGACTATCCCACAACAGGGTCTTGCAGGGAAAATAAAGTATTAAGAAGCAACTGTTCACTGATATTTGTGTGTTTAATATGAAAAATTAGTCCTCAGAATACAAAAGGCATTTATTTTATTTACAAATTTTGCATTATGCATTAATTGCATGCATATATACACCACATGCAACATGACAGGGACCTTTACCTCATGTGGTTCACCCTCCTCAATAATTGTCTCTTCAATGTAGTACTATTAAAAAAAAACAAGAAAAAAAAATCATTGTTAGGCCAGATCATACAGAACAGCAAATTGTAGCTTCTGTTGAGCTGTTTTAAAAACACACTTCTGGAGAAACAGGACTGTAGTTCATAGGTACCTATGAAGTCATATTTGCATCCTTGGTAATTCTGAACATCTGTTCATTTTTTGTATTAATGATTGGATTTTTTCCATACATTCCTCAATTAATTATCCTCCCAAATAATTAATGAAGGATCATTATCTAATTTTACCCACAATAGGGAAGACAATGATGACCACACTAAAAGAAAGAATCAGCATTAAAAAACCAGGATTTTCCTAGTGTTTGGTAATATGCTGAGAGGACTGTAGAAGGTTTCTCTCTCTAGGGCTGCCGTCAGAGTTGTTCCTACCTACAGATCCTTGAAGGACACCAGTAGTTACTGGCTGCCAGCTAGACTTTGTACTACTGATCACAATTCTGAGCTCAGCAGCCCAGTCAATTTTCCACCCACTTTATTGTCCACTTATCCATCCCACATCTCATAAATTTGGTGATAAGATGAATATGGGAGACTGTTTCAGAGTCCTCCTAAAGTAGTCAAGGTCTGCAGCGTTCACTGGTATCGTATGCAACATTCACTGGTCTCCCCTTGTCCATAGCAGCAGTGAACTCATTATAAAAAGCAATGAGTTTGGTCAGTCATGATTTGCCCTTGATAAATCAATGTTCACTGCTCCCCATGACCTTCATGTCTTTCACGTGTTTAGAAAGAGCTTCTAAAAGGATTTGCTCCATAGCCTTCCCAAGGACTGAAGTGAGGTTGACCACCCTGTAGTTCCCTGGATCTTCTTTCTCGTCTTTCTTGAAGATGGGTAGAACATCTGCCTTTTTCCAGTTGCCAGGAACATCCTTGCTTCACTATGAGCTTTCAAAGATGACAGCAGCCTTGCAAGGTCATCAGCCTGTTCCCTCAGCACCCCTGGATCCATCCCCGCTGGTCCCACAGAACTACGTACATCCCAGTGGGTTAAGTCATCCCTAACTCTGTCTTCCTCTGCTGTGGATACTACTTCACTCCCACCTCTCTGCTAGGAAGCTCAGAGATGTGGAAGACCCTAGGACAAGCCTTATCAAATCTAAGGCAAAAAAGGCTTCAAGTACCTCAGCATTTTGCCTGTTCCTGGTCACTAGCTTCCCTGCCCACTGAACTATGGTCCCCCACTCTCTTAGCTTTCCTTTTGCTGCTGATGGTGCTTGCAGAAACCTTTCTTGCTGTTCTTCACTTCACTTGCTGGCTTCAACTCCAGCTGAACTTTGCCAATGCATGTAGGAATGGAGTTTATAATGTCTTATGTCTTTATGTTCCTCCCAGGTGGCCTGCTCCTGCTTCCACCTTCAGTATACTTCTTTTTTTTGTGTTTGAGCTCGGTCAGGAGCTCCCTGTTCATCCATACCAGCCTTCTGCTGTGTTTGACTTCTGCACATTGGACTGAACCATTCTTGTGCTCTGAGAAAATTGTTCTTGATGATCACCCAGCTCCCCTGAGCCACTTTGCCCTCCAGGGCTCTTTCCCATGGGATCTTCCCAAGGAGGTCCCTGAATCTGCTCTTCTGAAGTCCAGGATTGTAATTCTGTTTATCTTGCTCACTCCTCTCTGAATCTTCAACTCCAGTCTCGTGGTTACCGCAGCCATGGCTGCCCTTGACCTTTGCATCTTCCACCAGTTCTTTCTTGCTTATTAGTAGCATGTCCAGCAGAGCATCCCTCCTAGTTAGTTCATCAATCAACTGCATCAAGAAATTTACCTTCAATACTTTCCAGAAATCTCCTAGGTTGCTTGTGCTCAGCCATAGGCCCTTCCAGCAGATCCTGGGGTGGTTAAAGCCATCCATAAGCACAAGGGCTGTGCCTGTGAGGCTTCCTCCAGCTGCACAGAGAAGTTCCCAGGGTGCTACATCTCCTTTGAGGTGGCAGATCTGCAGGTGGAGGACGATCCTTCCTCCTGTAGCTGGAAACCATGAGCCTCCTGCCTTCTCCATCCTGACGGCCACCCTCCATCACCCATTTAACCAGGGTCTCCAACTGGCACTCCTTCCTTGCCACGTGTGGCTCTGCTGCTTGCTTTTCACGAAGGTGCAGACCTCTTCTTCTCCTTCCATGGTGGTGCAAAGCCTGTTCACCTCTTCCTTCAGCAGCCTGCGGTGCAACTGAGTGACCTGACCAGAACACATCTCCCACTGGAGAGGCAACAAGGTCCCTGCCTGCAGGGCTCCGGGGGCTTCCCTCCCCCGCTGGCAGCTTGCCTTTCCCCACAGCAGCTCCGACCGGACCGCGAAGGCAGAGCCCGGCGTCCCCCCGCCCGCCCCCCGCCGCCGCGTTCCC